TATATCTTTTCATATTACGATAAGACAACAAAATAAATTTGAATATTTTACTTTTGTTTCAATATCGAAATAGTTTTCTAAAAGAAAAAAACGAATTATATAAATTTTTTCTATAATCTTTTATTTTTTCAGAATATGGATAAAAACCATACACCATTACCACCACCATTACCAACATTTGTTCTTCGTTCTTTTTCATCTGGAGTAACATGTATTAAATATGATTTAACAGATTCATTACGTCTCTATACAGGTGAACAACAAGGTTCTGTTTATTTATATAATCTTCGTAATCGTCAACCAATTCTTTCATTATCTAATGCTCATACATCAACAATACTTGGTTTAAATCAATTCATTGAAAATAATAAATTAATTACATTTAGTAAAGATGGTTTTGTTAAAATTTGGAATGAATATGGTCAATGTCAATGGAATTATCAAACAAATCATTGTTCATTTTCAAATTGTGATATTATATCACCAAATCTTATTATTGTTCCAAGTGGTAATGATGAACATTCAACAATAGTAGCACTTGATTATCAATGTTCGAATCCTATTATTAAAAAATTTATTCCTATATCAACAAATATTAATCATGGTATGGTAATGAAATTACGTGTTTATGATAATCGTTGGCTTTTTGTTGCATATGAAAGTGGTTCATTAAATGTATTCGATATAATAACAACAAAACAACTTGATACATATCAAATAACATCTGATCATGAACCAATAACAGCAATGGATGTTATTTGTAATACATGTTTATGTGGTACAACAAAATCAGATTTAATTTCACTTGATTTTTTATCATTTAAATTACAACCAACATCAAAATTTCGTCATATAGAAATGCCAAATGCTGGTACAAGTTTTATACGATGTCGACCTGATGATGGAAAATTAATAGCTGTAGCTGGTTGGGATTCAAGAATAAGATTATTTCGAAGAGAAACTGGAAAACAACTAGCTATGTTGGATCTACATCGACAACAAGTTAATTCAATTGATTTTGATTTTCATACAAGACAAATGGCATGTGCAAGTGAAGATCGAACTGTATCAATTTGGGATATTTATAATAATAAATGTGAAACAAAGTCATAGATAATATGAAAAATGGTTTTTTTTTTGCATTTGAAGATAATTGATGAATTGCTATAACAGTGATAGACAGAAGAATTCAAAAGTGAATCTGACGAGTGTAGTCTTCGAACTGTTCAATCGCTTTTGAGTTGAGACTATATGCAATATATATGATCCAAATGAGTTATGAATATCTTGAAAAGAGTTCTTGCCCTTAGCTTATTGCTATGAAGATACTGCAATTAAACGTTTTTAAAATAAATGCTGTGGTTTACCTCCGAAACACTACAAAAAATGATTTCTTAATTTCGACTTGAAACTCTGCATAGAGCCAGACCTTAACGAGAGTAGTTTCAAGTCTTTTGATTTGCTTATATCCTGAAATAAAAGTATCAATTCTGCTAGTTTATATATATGAGAAAAAGAGACATACTATTACTATAGTTATATCGGAGGATAGAAACAGCGGCAAGATCTGAAATATTCACAAAGAACTATTCTTGTTAAGGCTTGTCTGTACACAATGTTTCAAGTCGAAATTCGAAAATCAGTTTTTCTGGTGTTTCTGAGAGAGGCCAAGGCATTTACTGCAACAATACCATAACTGTGCAATATTTTCGTAACAATAAGCTAAGAGTACGAATTCTTTTCAGGCTATTCAGAGCTCATTGAGAGATCTACATAATGTACATAGTCTCGATTTAAAAGTGATTGAACATTTGGATAACTTTCTTCGTAAGATAAAAACTCTTTGGAAAATGTCGAAATGTTTGTATTCTTTTTTTGTTTTCTTTATGTACACGAAATCTCGAGAATATAAATTTATTAAGTTTTATTATTGATATAGAATAATTTATTGACAAAATCATAAAAGATTACATGGAAAAAAAAATATCATTTTATTGGTCAAACTAATAAATATTCAATTCCTCTGATTCTATAAAGAGTGAATGATTCTAATGTGTTTTTTTTATTTTATTTACGCACCAGAGTTGCCGTTTTTTGTTTTTTTTTAACCCATGGGTAACATGGTTGGGTTGAGCAGCTTAACCCTACCCATTGGATAATCCATTGGGTTAACCCTGGGTTTTATAATATTTGAATTTTTCATTAAGTATTATTAAGAGAAATGCAAGTTCAAATCCCGCTGTATAAATTGTTAATAAAATGAAAAATCATTTTATAGGATATACAATAATAGATATTATTTTTATTTTCATATGGATAAAAAGATAATCTTCACCGTGGTGGGTGTGGGTGTAGCTAGAAAATAGAACATCAGCACCCACACCCACACTCCGATGACGGAGGAAATAAAGAGAAAATAAGTTATCGTCTTTTTACTCTTTATTCTCTCTGTCGTCGGAGTTGATTTTACATTTCAGAATGTAAATTTCATATAACTTATATCGAATTTACATTCGATCAACCGACCAAAGAAAATTAAGGCACTGATGAATCACATACGCCATATCGTAACGACAGCTTCATTAAATAAAATTTTCTATAATTATTCTATAGAAACAGAGTTAATTTCATGGGTTCATTCAATGGTCAACCTTGGATAACCGGACAGGGTTTGAATCTGAAATTGGATGGGTGGGTGGATTTTGAGATTTTTCAAATGTCGACCCAACCCACCGGATTGGGTTAGAAGCTAACCATTGGAAGCTCCAACCCAACGGGTTGGACGGGTTAACCCACCCACGCGACACTTCTGTTACGCACAACATTTGATATTACTCAACAGTTATACAAAAGCATAAACAAATATATAAATTAGAAATTTCTCTATATAATTTTTATAGACATAATTTATGGCAACAAATATTCAATCTGAATTAAGTTCATCTGAAATTGAACTTGTTAATCGTGTTCATGCTTATTTTCTAAATAATAATCCAACTAAATTCTTCTATTTTTATACAAATACATCACCATTTAGTAATTTTTATCCATGTCAAGTTATTGAAAATGATATTCAATTCCATTGTACAGAACAATATATGATGTATCATAAAGCAAGTAAATCATTGTTATCTTCTTTTTTACTATTCTTTTTATATTAATATTTAATATGAATTAGAATTATTTAATGATAATGATATTGCTCGAAAAATTCTTGATGCTAAAAAGCCTGGTCAATGTAAAGCTTTAGGAAGAAAAGTAAAAAATTTCAATGAACAAACATGGATAAATAATCGAATAAAGATTGTTTCTAATGGAAATTATCTTAAAGTAAGAATAAAATATAATCAATCCAAGGATTTTTTTGAAGTCGAATATTTTTCTTGAGAATTAGCAAGTAAAATAATTCGAATAAAATGCTAGAACGTCAGTGAAGTAAAACGAAGAGAATTATTTTATTCACATTTTTGGCTTACAGAGTTTTAAAATTTACTTGATAGAGTTTGTTGGAGTAGTGAAATAAAAATTTAACTTGATAAAAGAACCATTGAAATATAAATGTAGAAATTTCGATCCTTCTCCTCTTCCTTTGATCATGACAAACATCTTATAACATATACCTTTCATAGTTATTATCTATTTTCTTGAAATTTTATAACAATAATTTAAATGACAATAATTATTTAATAAATTTTTAGTTTACACAAAATGAAGATTTAAAAATGATTCTCTTGGAACACAATGATACATTATTAGTCGAAGCTTCACCAAATGATCGTATATGGGGTGTTGGTTTATATGAAAAAGATCCATTAATTAAACAAAGATCTACATGGAAAGGACTTAATTTAATGGGTTATATACTTACAGACATTTCTTATCGAATAATGAACGAAAATAAAACAAAATCAGTCTAGAAATTTTTTTTGAATGAAAAAAAAAAAAAAAAACTTTCAATAAACTAGAATTTACATATGTATATAATTTCGAGAAAAAAAAAACTTATCAAATTTACCATCAACCAATACAAAGAAAATAAATATTATGTCATCTATTCACTTTAATCTTGCTCAACGAACACGCAATACTCTTTTCAAACTGATTACCATAAAAAACACCTGTAACTCAACAAACCAACATGATTCATAAAATATTAAAAAATATTTATAGGTTTCAAGACGTTTTTTCTATGGCTGCTAAACAAGCATATTCTACAAGTTCTATATTAACTTCATCTGAAAATGAACTTATTCAACGTGTTCATTCACATTTTCCAAATAATGAACCAAATAAATTTCATTTTTTCTATCGAACAGCATCACCTTTTAGTAATTTTCATCCATGTAGTTTCTCAGAAAATGATATTCAATTTCATACAACTGAACAATATATGATGTATCATAAAGCAAGTAAAAGCAAAATTATTTTTTTTTTTAATTTTTCAAATAAAATTTTTGTTTTTTTTTCACTCGAAGAATTATTCAATGATAATGAAACAGCTGAAGGAATTCTTCAAGCAACAACTCCAGCTGATTGTAAAGCTTTAGGAAGAATTGTAAAAAATTTTGATGAACAATTATGGATGGATAATCGAACACGTATTCTTTCAAATGGAATTTATTTAAAAGTATTAGAATTCATTTTTTACTTGAATTTGAAACATAAAAATAAAAATAAAAAAACACAGAAAAATTTTTTGTTTTCTTTTTCCTAGTTTACCGAAAATGATCAACTAAAACAAGTACTTTTAAAACAATACGGAAGTTTATTAGTTGAAGCAGCAGCAAACGATGGTATATGGGGTGTTGGATTAAAACAAGATAATCCATTAATTGAAAAACGATCGAATTGGAAAGGACTCAATCTATTAGGTTATATATTAACCGATACATTACATCGTATTTATGATCAAAATTAAAACACTTTTTTTTTTCTTTCTTTTGCTATTATCTGACAATAAAAAAAAAGAAAACTTCAAAAGAAAGTACAAAAAAGAAAAATTAATGAAACGGATTAACCGTATTTCTATACATTCCTTCTTTCATAAGAAAATGTATAAATTCATCTTTAGTTACACGTCCATCTTTAGTTATATCTAATTTTGTCATTAAATCTTTAGCAACAATGTCCGGTGGATAATCTTCAATATGTTTTATGCCTAATAAAGTATACATTCCTCGAAGAACTGGTTCAATTTCATCTAGAATAATACAAAAATAATTATTTATAATTTTCTTTAAAAAAATTTAACCTTCTGTTATATAACCATTTGAATCTAAATCATAACATTCAAATGCATAATCTAATCGTGATCGAAGATCACCACGTGAACATATAGCAAAACCAAGTAAAAATTCACCGAATTCAACATAACCATTACCATCAACATCAAATGCACGAAATACATGATCACACATATTGTCTACACGTTCAGGACATTCTTGACGAAGAAGACGGTATAATTTACGAAATTCATTGCGATCAAGACGACCATCTGGATTATCATGGAAAAATTTTTCATGCCATATACGAATTTCATCTTGTGATAAACCTTTTGGAAAAATAAAATAATCGATTTTATATCTATTGTTATTATTATGAATATGTAGGAATAAAAGTAAAAAATTTCTAGGACGTATATCATGGAATATTTTTTCTCAAGGGAAAGATCGATAACAACAGAACCTTGTAAGTACGTGACAATTTATTTCACTGACGTTTTATTTGTTCAATATTGAAGTAGTGCTGATTACTTGATTTGTTATTAGTTTTCTCTAGAAAATATCTAATCTATGGCTTTTTTTATTATTAACTTGATTTAAGAAGATGCACTTGACTTCAACCTTATTGTACTTTCATTCTAACAAAAAGACATGACTTTTATAGAAGAGTGAATATTATCATGTCAAATAACATTGACTCATATAGAAATTTAATAAATTTTACTATTTTTCTTTAATTTGACCCCTAGATAATCATGAATATATTATTTCATCTATCTCTTTAAACAGATTCATAAAAAAAAATTCTACTGATGTAAACGAATTTCTTTTAACTTGAAATATTTAAATTATTTCACTTGTCTTTAGAAATCTTGTATTGTTTTTTTTTCATTAGATTTTATTATTCATTAAATCAAATGAATAGTGTAGAAATATCATTATTTTCATGTTGATTGAAAAATTTAATAAAGTCTACATAAAATATATATATATATATATACTTACCGGTTTGTGAAGACAGGAAGTTAATATCTCGTTCAGATAAAGCCCATTTACTACGTGGGTCATCTGGTTCAGATAAATTCTGATGTTTATTTACACTTGGTTGAGGTCGTTTCTGATTAATCATACTAATTCCTATTCTATTCGACGAACTTTTTGTATTGCCCATAATCTTATCTAAAATCAATAATAAGTCAAATGTTTTTACATCTTTCTTTAATGGAAAAAAAAACCTCACTACTTTTCTTCTTTGTAATAAAATATAAAAACAAAACTGATATATTTATACTTAGCCAAACTTTATCTAAAGTATGTCTCAATGTATATATGTATATTTACTTTGTTACAAAGCAATGAGGATTTTTATTTCATTCGCGTGGGAACCATTGGCTTCCTACCTCTTCACGCCTTCGTTTTGAAAAAAGGTATCCATATAGAAATCGACTGCAGGTAGAAATAATAAAGGTGACAAGTTTAAACTGATGGTTTCTCTTTTTTTTTTAATAATGCACGTGCTTTTCTTTTCCCCTCGTCAATCAACTACATCATATTTATGTGTACATTGATTTTTTTTTTCTTCTTATATACTAAATAAATCGTAATAATTAAAACTTCTAGATTGTCCAAATGGAATTATTCATGTATATGATATATTCCAGAAAGATTGCTAAACATATACTTCCGCTCGAACTAAAAAATCCTCTTCTTTGTATGATTTAGTTAGATGTCGCTAATAGTTGATTGGTTACGCGTCTTATTTCTATTTCAGTATTTTATTGGCTAATACAAACGATTCTGTTTTATCTCCTTGACGAAGAAATTGTCATGCACGAAGATCAATTTTTGTTTTACCAACCATTATTTCCTTTTCATGTCATTGATTATTATTAAAAGAAAATAATTATCTAAAAAACAAAAAGAACAAGATGAAACCACAAACAATAGATACCCAACAACAACATCTTTTAACAGTGATTCCATTTCGTTATCGAATTTTATTGTATTTAAATATTCTTCTTGTTGTGGTTGACATATGTATTAATACATTTAGTGAATTTCTTGCACCAAATACATTTGGACAACTTATTATTTTTATGTAATTATTAATTTCATATTTATTTTTAAACTATTCTAAATGATTTAATCATTAAAAGAACTTTTATTAAGTTTTGGGCTACGAAAAAAAAAAGAACATAAAACGAGAGTTTTATTATTTAAAAGTTTTCTATTAAAAATATAAAATCTGTTTTATATTAATTTATAAACTATAATACGAGTTAAAAGCATTACAAAAAAATGTCTATGAATAAAAACAAATATTTGTTAGCACAAAAGCAAATACTACGAATAATACAAAGCCTACGAATCATATTCTTGATTGAATTCTATAAGCATTGATTTGCTAATGTACATATACAAAATTAGGTTTTCTTTTTAGATTTTTCTATTCTATTTGACAAAAATAAAGTAAATTCTGTTATACATTTAGAAAAAAATCTATACATTAGAAAATAATTTTAATGAAATTTTCTTCTTATTTTTATTTAGTATTCAAGATGTATGTATTGTACTTGCAGTTACATTACTTATTGTTATGATTTTAACAACTTATGTTGCTCAAGCTGGTTTAGTCAGTTTACTTCTTCGCATGTTTCGTTTTTCAATTCTTATTACTTTTTTCTATTTGGTACTTTGTGCTGTTGTTCAAGGACTTATACTTGTAATTTTTTAAAATTAGATCTTTATTTTTATATTCGTATTTTAAAATATTATTTTTCTATAGGCTCAACGTTTTTCGGATGATGCATTTGTTAATAGTGTCTTTAAAAAACCAGAAGTATTAGCTTTTTATGTAATTCAACGTACATGTATGATAAAGTTTGTTCGAGGTTTTTTTTTTTTTTATTTGTATACATTTTTTTTTTAGTTTCTGTTTTATATTATTATGGAATGAAACGTGCTGCTTATCGTTTAAGTGATCCTCATTTTTATCAATCATCAAAATGGTTACAAGATCTTTGGTAAAATTATTGAAAATTTTTCATAGATAAATTCATTTTATTTATTTATTTTTCTTCTAGGGAAAAACGTCGTAATGCTGCTACAATGCATATAACTTCAAAAGCAGCTAGATCTGCACAAGGAAAAACTATTATTCGTTGTACAATTCTGTAGAATGAATTCTCTTTTAAAATCCTATTGAATCCGTCCATTGATTTTTGTTTTTTATTTGGTTGCTTTTGCTTTCTTTTCGTAACATATATATATCTTGTGTCAGATGTATCGACGTGTGTGTATCTCTCGTATCATTCTAACAAATTTTTTAGCTTAATATAAAAGATAAAAAAAAAAAAGATTATCAATAAGTTGTCGGAGAGAAAAAATAATCTTTTCGAAATATGAATAATTCATAACGATTGAAATGATTTAATATGAATAAAAAAAATAAAATAAAATGTTGATATTGAATTAAGTTTTCTAGTTTTAGATTTTATTTTATATATATATATATATATATATGTCAATATCGAATCTCGATAAATTAATACCCACTAAATATGGTTGGCATGTTCGTTTTGATAAACAATTTGATCCAAGATGGAAACCATTTACACGGCCAAGACTAAGACAAGCAATTGAATATGTACCATTATTTATGAGGTAATTTTCATGAATATAAAAGAAAGAAAAATTGTTTTGTGTTTATTTATTAGATATCTTCAAATATGGTATAAATTAAAAAAAGCAAAACGACGAGCACATATGGATTTTCTTAATCCAGTTCCACTTCAACAAATTTATGGTGAATAAAAGAGAAATTTTTAAGAACAATGGGTCTAGATAGTTCTCTCTTCGTTTCTGGAATTTAGAAGAAAACTTTCATTCACTAAGAAAGTTCATCTTATTTTCCGTCGTTTATCGAGGTTTATAGCACTATGATAGAACATTGTAACCAGATAAAAATAATATTTTTCAAGTTATCGGTGGAGTTCAAAATCGACATTTGCTAGCGAAAAAGTGTTCACACTTAACAAGTGATTTCGACAATTAACATTTTTTTCCAGCAATCGAAATTAGCGAAACCCCATATTTGATATCGAATTAGAATTTAGTGAGTTCTCTACAAAAGTACATTATATAAAACAGAATACAGTTTTTCTATTATATATCATGTGAAAAACTTGATTTGGTGTTGTAAAGGATACGTCAAGTTTTTATTATAAAACCTATTCCTATAGAACCTATGATTTTGTAACTCGAATATTTTGATACCACTAGAAAGTTCACATCGTATCAGTTATATTCACACATAACATGTAGGCATTTTTTTCCAAAGACTTTGCTCTTTCTAACAAGAAAACTATTACGTCTCTATGATGAGTTGTTGTTACACTATACTGAAAAAAAAACTAATTTTACATCACTTGTTCTTTGGATGTAAATGAAAATTTTTTGTTTTGATTTTTGTATTATGTGTATATGAAAGAAGCAAGTAATAATTAATTTATTTTCTCTGTTATTTAGGTGCACCTATTGGTGGTTTAGGTGGTGGAACAATTGGTCGAGGTTTTCGTGGAGAATTTTGTCGTTATCAACTTGTACCTGGTCTCTATGAATTTAATACTGTCGATGCAAATACTGTTTGTTTGTTTATCGTTTTTGTGTTTAAAATATTTTTCCTAAAAAATATTTTCTTTTTTTTTTTATATAAATTAGTTTACTGTTTGTATTCGTCGGCGAAATAAAACAACTTATTGTCAAGTATTAACACCATATCGATTAAGAAAAAAAGGTTTCAATTCATGGAATTGTGCATTTCCAAAAGAAAATGGTCATTATCAAGCCTTATATCCTCAATCATGGACAACATATGATTTACCCAATCAAAATATTCGATTGCTATGCAAACAACTTTCACCTATTATTCCACATAATTATAAAGTATAGAATAAAAAAAACATTTATTCGAAAAATTATGTTTATTTATTGATTTATTTATTTATTTTTACTAAGGATTCATCTCTACCAGTCGCTTCTTTTCTTTGGTATATTGAAAATTTGAATGATGAACCCGTTGAAGTTAGTCTAATGTTTACATGGCAAGCTGGTTCAGGTATTTTTCTCTGTTTTGACATAGACATCACTTAAAAATTGCTTTTGTTCTTGTAGCTTCTCAAGAATTTTCATGTCGAGATATATCACATGAATCTATTGATGTTACTGATGATGAAATTTCAGCTAGTGGTATATCAATCAAACAAACATTACGTGGTATGAAACTTGAATATTGTATTATGGGAAAAAAAGAGGTTTGTATTTTTGTATTTATTGGAATGAATATCTAAAAAGAAAAATTATCAATATTTTTGAATATTTTTGTACTATTTAAAAATTCTAGTTAGATAATACAATTACTACAAGAACAAATTTTAATATTCATTCGAATACAGATGGAAGTGATGTTTGGTTTGATCTAACTGATGATGGTCGATTAACAGGTATAAAAGAAAGACTTTTAATAAAGTATAAAAATAAATTTTTCAAGTTTATAAAAGGATTACTTTAAATCGTAGCTACATATGTCAGCAGGGAGTTGTTTGTTGTCGACAAAAGGATTGTTTAGTTTGGATGGACCGTTCAGTTAGCTTTTACTATTTGGCAATAAAAAAAAACTTTTGTCTGCACTGAAATAATATAAAACCGCGAAGATCTCAAGCCGAAACATAGAGGCTAGCAAAGTAAGACGTGAGCCGAAAGTTTCTAGATAAAATATTTGATTATTTGTCGTATATTTAAATACATTGGAAAAGAGTGAGAAGTAGTGTATTAGAATCAGAAGTTTTTTTTGGGACTTGTGACTATTGAGCTATAACTTAATCTTCACAGAACTCAAATAGCTATTCTTCTTGCGATAGACTCAACAAAAAGTCTCTATTGCATCTCAACAGATTGCAAAAAACTTTATTTAAATATATCGGTTTATAGATAATTATGGTCTATATGTTCCAATATATTCGGTAAGATTTTTGTGGCATATCTGGAACAATTTTCATTAATTGAAAATTTTGTAATCTAATGTCGATATGTTTAGATGTAGAGATTTTTCTATGAAAATTGAGTGTATAAAGTCTATACGAGATAATCTCTGAGAAGAGAATGAGAATTCTT